TAAAATGAAGAAAGGTGTGTGTGAGAGGGTTGTTTACATTCTATCTATTCAATCTGTATACTGGACAATTTCTTTGAGAAGTTGGACTAGTTTAATTTATAGGCAGTATTACTCTCTACTTCTTAAATATTGTCTCTTTGCTAACCTTCATAGTATGACTATTAGATTTAAGTGTTTAATATTTTCTAAAATATTTAGTAAAGTCACTGGTGCATATTATGTCCTCAGTAAATGTTGCTTCGTTTCCTTCAGTATCCTTCACCTATTCTAAGTGGACTTTAAAACAAAACTTTAAATTCCATACTCAACTTTTAATTCACTCTATCAGGCATCCTGTAACATTTTCTTTACTGTGCTATTTAGTATGTCTGCTTACCATTCTACTTAGCTCATTTATTGTTTAAAAGAAAAGAATGATCAACTTATCTCAGGCTTGGCCAAGCCAGATTTAAGATGGAAGAACATCTGTTGGATCACATGGATACCTGATTCTTTTGTGTTATTTTTGTTGTTGTTATTAGGTGTCATCTAGTCAAGCAATCCTAGCAGCCCTATGGACAGCAGACCCACCCAGTTCACATCTACCCTCTGTTATCCTCGCTATCTCTCACACACTGTAGCTCATGCATTGTGAATGTGTGTTTGTGTGCTTAATGTTCATAAATATTGCTGTTAAAACTCTTAACTACATGAACATTGATCTTTATAAAGTTGTACTAAAACCCTGTTCTCTTAATTTTTGTTACTAGGTAACCTTGGTCGGGTGGACCAGGTCTCTGAGTTTGAGTATGATCTCTTCATTAGACCTGATACCTGCAATCCGCGCTTCCGAGTATGGTTCAACTTTACTGTGGAAAATGTGAAAGAATCACAGGTAAGTGAAATAATATTTTGTTTTGTTTAGTAATAGATAATAAAGAAATTGCATTTTGCACATATTTTCATTTCTGATGCTATATACTTTTGCTTGATGCATTGTATAGGTACATTTTTGTGATCTTCATGGTTGTACATTTGTGATCTTCATGGTTGTTAAAATTATATAAATACATTGGAAACAAAATGTTCTTTACTAGTTGAAACATTAGCACAATGTACTTTGCTTACCCTGAGAGACAATGTAAGAAACTGAGATTTTCCTTATGTGATTTACTATTATTATGTTTATTATAGAGTTATTGTTCTATTGTTGGTGTTTATCATTAAGTTGGAACCAAACCATAGATAACCCTCTAGTGGGTTTTCAGAAGCAGTTAATTGCATGGGAGGAGACTGCCCGTCTTTATCCCTCAGAGCAGTTGGTGGATTTGAATCCCGGGCCTTCAGGATTGTAACACAGCTGCTTACCACTAGCCTACCAGGGCTCCTTCTAGTCTATTACTTCTTCTTTATAAGAAGAAGAAAACCTGTGATAAACATTCATTTAAGGCTTCAGTTTTAGAAATTTTTCTTCTCCTATACAACATCTGAGCTCTTAGTGGTTTAATGGTAAGAAGCTGCATTCAAATCCGCCAGCTGCTCCTTGGAAGAAGGACGGGCTTTCTCCTCCTGTAAGCTTAAACTGCCTCTGAAAACCCACTGGAGGGTCAGCGATAAATTAATACCAACTTGACAGCACACAGCACAAACCACAATACGACATCTTAAGGGCAATATGACTTTTGTAACTGATCTTATTTTCTCTTTGCTCTGTGTACTGGAAATCCAGACAATTATGAAATGTTCCCCAATGATTCTGGCAAAAAGCAAAACAACCCCCCCCTTTTATTGCTATATTATCAGCTTTTCTTTTATCCAGAGTTTATCAATCTGCTTTTAAAAATAATTTCTTCAGCTCGATTTTTTCTCAATTCTAAAGATTAATTAATTTATTTTATACTTGTTTATTTACAAAGTTCTTATACATTGTTTATAACACTGGATTTTTTCCATTTCTCTCACCCCCATGAAATCCAGGATTTCACCCATGAAATTATGTGACCCTATGATTAACAACCCCCACCCTAGCCCTGTGCTCCCACCCTCCTTCCCCCCTTGGACTCTCATACTCATTCTACAATAATGGTTTTATACAGTATTTGTCCTTATGGGATAAAACCTTATGGGTTTCAGTTCACTTAGTTCTTCAGTCCCTCCTAAGTTAGATAGTAATTTTCAAAATCATTACTCCTGTGTGCTGCATAGTATTCCACCCTGTGAATGGACCATAATTTCTCAATCCATTCGCTTGTAGTTGGACAACGGGGCTGTTTCCATGTTCTTGTGATGGTGCCCAATGGTAATATGAACATTGGAGTACAAGTCTCCATTTGTGCCTTAGTTCTCATTTTCTTGGGCTATATTCTAAGCAGTAGGTAGCTGGGTCATAGGAAATTTCTATGTTCAGCTTTGTGAGGAAGCACCAAAGTGGCTTCCAGAGTGGTTGTACCATTTTACAGTCCCACCAACAATGTATAAAAGTTCGTATCTCACCACATCCTCTCCAGCATTCATTGCTTACTGTGCCATTAAACTTTGCCGCTGTTACTGGAGTGAGATGGTGTTTCATTGTGTTTTTTATTTTCATCTGTCTCATTGCCAGTGAGTTTGAGTATTTCTTCAAATGTCTTCTGGCCGTCCGAATATCTTCCTCTGTAGAAATTCTTTCCATGTCTTTTGCCCATTTTGTAATTGCGTTATCAGTCTTTTTTTTGTGGAGGCCCAGGAGTATTCTGTAAATTTTTTATATGAGATTAGCTCCATTTTTAACATTGTGCATTTTATAATCCTAATTTTAGATGAGAGAGGTATTGTTGAAAACTGAGAACTTAGTATATTCTCTTTGAACAAATATTAACAAAATTAATGCTAAGAAATTAATTATCATTGAGACAACTAATCATTGACGACTCTGCAGATATTGGTATGTGTTCTTTTAAGGGTATAAAGAATACCTTCTATCTTTACATCTACTTTCTCTTTCAAGACTGTCTTTTTTTACTAAATTGGGGCAGTAGATGTTTCTTTACTTTTCCTTACATGAAGATCCTCAGCCCAGTTAACTGACATAGTGACTGCCACAATGGATTCAGAATGTGTGGGAATTGCCCAAGATAGGACAGATTTAAGATCCATTGTTCATAGGGTCACTATGAGTTGTACTTGACTCAACAGCACCTAACAACAACAACAGGGTTAATAGTGCACTCTCCTTACTCTTTTGCTTACTTGCTTACTGCTTACTTAAGGCTTTCAGTTTCTGTTCAGAATGACCCGAAATTGTGTGCAAGGTTGTTGTTAATATCTGGAATGTAAGGGTTCTGAGTCTTCCTGAATATAATGTTATGCCGACATAGTGGCCTCAGTAGAAGGGGCATGCAGGAATGGCGACTCACTTTCTTCCAGTTCTCTTTGTTCCCTAGAACATTACTAACAGAAGGATTTTTTTTCCGGTTACTTTTAAGATAACTTTATGTATGTTGTTGTTAGATGCCATTGAATCAACTGAATGGAAACTCTCCCTGCAAAATTCCCCAAACAAATAATGCATGAGCACCCATTTCTAATTAGTCTTTTTTCTACATCATTATCTTTTCTTTAGGTACTCAGAGTTCCAAGGTTGTCATCTGTACATATATAACTTTTTTGTGAGAGGGTGGATTGTATTAAATCTTATTTTTCTGTATTCTATTTTAGAGGAATTGAGAGGACTGTGTCAGTCATGAGGATGCCTTTTTCTCTATGCCTTTCATCTTTGAGAGTCTTAATTTAAATAAACTACCTCTTTTGACACATTGAGTCTCCTCATTTCTGGACTAATTGATACTGAGCAAGATATGACATGCCAACCATTTAAAGGCTAATTTAAATATTTGGTACATTTTATTTTAAAGATTATTATGGGTGGTTTTGGAAGAAGACATACCAGAACTCAATGTAGAGTAAAGTATTACTATGCTCTTCAAGAGCAGCATGATGCCAACTTCTTAATCAGTTGTTTTACTGTTATCTTTAATCCTCTTGATTTTTCTTTACTATTGATTATCAGGTTTGTATTCACCAGGGTATTTCTGAAATTTTATCAAGGCAAACATGTCCACTGCAGTATGTTCAGTTCATGGTTATTTAAGTATATTATTTAAGTTCTTTGTAAGTTTTGGGTCTTTTCATTCTTTTAATAAAATAACTATTTCAACTTGGCCTCACTTAACAACAATATCCCTCTGCTTATAACTTGATTTCGTGGCTGGAGTAGGATTGTTGTTGTTGATTGCCTTCAAGTCGAGCACAATTCATTACAACCCTATGAACAAAAGGCCTGAAGACCCTCTACAACTATCAACATTTATCAAAGTTCATAGAGTTTCTGTGGGCATGTTGGTTAGGAAGTGGGTGCCACTCCTGCTTCCAAGGAGTAGGATTAGTTGGGGGAAATCTTGATTCAGAAGAAACTACTCTCTCTATAGTTCAGTTTTGACTCAGTGACCATACAGGGCAGAATCGAAGTGTTCCAAGTGGTTTTCCAGGACCTAACTATTTTTAAGAACAAATTATTTGGTCTTTCATGGAATAGTTTATATTTCAAACCAATGTCCTTCGAGTTAGCAGCAGCTGATCACTTAACCATTGACCTACTAGCTTTCCCTAATATTTCATTATTTGTTGTTGTTGTTGAGTGCTGTCGAGTTGCAGGCGACTCATAGCGACCCTATGAAGGAGAGTCCTTGACGCTTGGGTACCTTTCTTCCTCTCTCCAGTTCATAGGGTTTCCAGAGGCAAGCTATTACAGAAGTGGGTGCCACTCCTCCTTCCAAGTATTTGTTGTTAGCCACTGTTAAATCAAGTACAACTCATAGAAACACTATGAACAACAGATCTGAACCCTGTCCTATCCTGTGCCATCCTCACAATCTTTACCATACTTGAGCCCATTGCTGTAGTCATTAATCCCCTTGGTTAGGGGTCTTCATCTCTTTCACCCAAGCTCCAAGTGTCCAAGCATGGTGTACCACTTCAAGGAATAGACTTTCTTTGTAACATGCCTGAAGTATGTGAAATGGAGTTTTATCACCCTTGCTTTTAAGGGGTACTCTGGTTGTACCTTCTTCACGACATATTTCTTTGGTTTTTTTGGCAGTCATGGGAGTTCTGGTGGCCTACTGGCAAGGAAGCTTCACTGCAATCCTAAAGGCAAATGGTTCAAGGCCACCAGTTGTTCCAAGGCAGAAAAATGGACAGTCTCCTCCCATGCAATTAATAGCCTCTGAAAACCACTGGAGGGTCAATTTTGGGTTGGTTCTTACTCTGTGGTACACAACACTGCCCACACCCACACACACAATGTTCAGTACTCTTGTCCAGCTTCACAGCTCAAAGATATAAATTCTTCTGTCATCCTGATTCATTGTCCAACTCTCAGATGCATACCAAGTGATTGAAAAGTCCATGGCCTGAATCAGGCACACGTTAGTCCTCAAGCTGACACCTTGCTCCTCAATAATTTGGAAGTCCCTGACTGCAAATATTTCCGGTGCAATCTATCTCCTGGTCTCCTCACTATTCGTACCGAAGTTGTTAATTGTGGATCCAAGTACGATTAATTCATTGATAGTTTCAACCTTTTCTGTGTCTATCATGATTTGCCTATCAGTATCAGTCTAGTGGTAAGAATTTTTGTTTGCTTGACATTGAGATGCAATCCATATTGAAAGCTGTATTCTTTGATTTTCTGCATCAAATACTCAAGTCCTCTTCACTTTTAGCAAGCAAGGTTGTACCTTTTGCATAATATAGGTTATTGATTAACATCCTTGTGATCTTAATGCCACATTCTTCTTCAGGGTGTCCAGCTTTTTCCCATTCTCAGCAAAGGTGATCCAATTGAATGTGAAAATT